CATACGTAAATTCCTTCTGGGATTGTAAGGGAGCTGACATTGGTTGAGTGTCTAATATGTTCTCTTCAGTATATTAGGTACTTTGGCTACAATATTTTGTTTAGATTTCACAACGCTGTGAATTTCATATTATTACTAGCACTCTACAATGAGCAAACTAAGGCTTAGGAAGAGGAACTTACATTTGCTAGATATCCAGTATGTACTGTAAAGGATGTGGGGCATTATCCAGTTTACAACTGTTTGAATTCTAAATGATTAGTACTCCTAGTTTAGGAGTGGTAAAAAAAAAATGAGTAAAGATAGTAAAAATGAATCTGAGAGAGATTGAGTGTCTTGAGGAAGGTCAAAGCCCCAGGAAACATGCATGCTGGATTCAAAAGCACGTGTGGTGTTCTAAAGGCTGAGAAGCCATACTGCAGCTAGTACCTGTCTGTTTGCCAAAAGCTACTAATGTAGACTCCAAAAGCATGTTTTCTTCCATGCTTGAAGCATGTACGTCCTACCTCCTTGCCTTTGCTCATGCTGGTCCTTCTGCTTAGAATTCCCTTCTCCCTCTTCTTCACCTGAGTAACTCCCATTCATCCTCCAAGCAAAATGTTGTCTCAGCCATGGAGACTTCTGTAACATCCCCTCCTTACCCCAGCTAGAGCAGAAATAATGACTTCTTTATAAGCGTTCCAACATACTTTATATTATCAAATTCCTTCACAGACCCCAAAGTCCTCTGGTGACATATCCTTAGTTACAGAAACAAACAAACAAAAAAAAATCCAAATTTTTCATTTTAGCCATCAAAGCCATCCCCCATCTGACCCAACTTGCTTTTCAACCACACCTTGCAGCTCCACCTGATTTCTCCAACTAAACAAAACTGCCGAACACTCTTCCCCACCCACGGCTATGTTCTCCTTCCCCCTCCAAGACTTCACTCAGGCTGCTGCTGTCACCAAGAATGGCCCCTCCCCTGCACCTCAGCCTGTCTGCATGTGACCTTTCCACCAGCCCCGGCTAAAGTCCTGGTGCTATGCCCTCAGCCCTTTGGGAGGGCCTCCATAAGTGTTCGTGGAGTGAACACCTGACCCCTTGCTCCCCTGTGACATCACATCTTCCCTTGGGTGAGGCAAGTATGTGTCTTTCCACTGTCCCAGGCTGAGAGCTCATCCGGCGCAAGGTCTGCAGTGTCTCATCATTCTTTGCACTGAGTAGGTGCTCACAAAACATTTGTTGAAAAAAATGGATAAATGATGCTGGATGAAGCTTGTGGGTTAAGGGCAGGATGGGAGAACTGATTGGATGAGGAGCACATGTAGGCTCAGTAGGTCTTGTGATAAAACACAGGAGCACATTTACATGACCAACAGTGAGAACAGGGACATAGGTGGACTTTGCCAGAATGCTTGATTCCATTTAGGAACCTCCTATGCTCATACCTTTAACCCGGTCTTCCAAGGAGCCAAAAGGATTTCTCAATTTGAAGTACAGATGTCTTGTGGGACTCTCACTTTTTTTGTAATACGTAACATTATTACAGAGAATATGGGCTAAGAAGACTCCAGAAACACACCACTGACAGGGTCCAGACATCGATTGAATGAGGGGGCAATACCAACAGCGAATGCAGATTCTAAGAGCGTACTTTCTTTGATGTCTGTGGCAAAGCACGTACTGTAACTAAAAGCTTAATTCCATTGATTTTCTGATGCCTCCACAACACCGTCTGTGGGTTTTTCAAACAAATGGTAAAAGGTGTGATGTTTTCTAAGGAAGGTAGAGTTAAGGATGGTGGTTGTGAATGTCTTGATTTGTGAATGTCTTGCACATGCGAAACATTAACAGAGACATAAAGCTATCAGTTGTAAACCTTGTAGCTAAATTGCAAAGGCACAGAGGAATGTTTGACTTATGTAACTCTTTTGTCTTCTTAAAACAATGAATGATACCTTTCACTGAGGTTATTTTCCTTGACATGCAGAGTGACCATAGAACTTCTCAGGGCTGGTGCCAACAAAACTGTGAAGTGAAGTAGGTGAGGCTAGTCTTTCACTCCACCAACCTCTGTCCTGTGCTTTATACCCACTGCTTATATCCCTTCCTCTGGGGCCAGGTGCCTGCTTTTTCCTTCTCCCTATCAACCTAGTCTTAGGAAAAGTTCTATACTTTCTTCAAACTGAAGTATAAGTGATTTGGGGAAAATTCAAAGGATTGTTCTATTTATGTATTCTTGCATCTAGCAAGGATCAAAGTCTTAAGCTAGAGGAATGGGGCTCTAGGAGTAGATTTTAAGCATAATCTAGAAGTAGGAGTTAAAGAGTTCCCCACATTCCATAAGGGATCATCATGATTTCCATGCAGAGGTGCACTCATGAGCCTGTAAATGCAGGCGATTTTTAAAAGTCACTTGTTGAATTAACTTTGCTATTTCTATCCAGCTTCCCTCTCCTACTCCTCCCTTTCCCTGGGCAATCTCAGCCCCACAGCTGGTCCTCCTCTTGGACATCACTGTATGTATTTGTTGGGATTCTTTGGTTGCAAGTGACAGGAACAGTCAAACCATCATCCAAGCCATCTTCCAAAAAAAAAAAAAAAGGCTCTTGTAACCAAACAACCAAATGCAGGGCTTGAATCACCTTTACAGTTGAACAAGGCTTAACTATTAACACTCTCTCTCTCACACACACACACACACACACACACACACACATCTATTTTCTTCTGTGTGCTTCTACTGGCATTGGTCTCATTATCTTCCCCTTTCCTATATATGAAGGGACATAGTCTTACAGTTCTCAATTTGAGGGAAAGAGAGCATGCTTTGGGTCTGCCTCAAGACAGAAAAGTCTGGGGAAGGATGCTGATTGGTCAGCTCAGGTCACGTGACCACTTTGGCTCATTGCTGTGTCTAGGCAGATGTGGTGTAATCACCATTATCTCTGTGACATACCCTTAAGAAACACATGACATGAGGGAATCACCTTCTTCATCTGTAAAATGAGGGGAGTGGAGATCGCTCTAAAACTCTTAGCTTTAACCTGATTCTGTTTGAAAATCATATCTTCATTTTTGGTATTCTTATCACTATTATCTTAGTCTCTTGTCATGTCCAGCCTCCCACAAGAAAACCAGATATCACTGGCAAACAATAATGATCTCCTTGGCTTCTTGGCCTCTCTAAGTGGGCCAAGCAGCACCCCCTATGGTGCCCCTCATATGATACAGCAAAGTATTATAGCTCAACCTTGACCAAATTTAATCATTTATGCCACATGATGTTAGATGGTCACAATTTCCAAATTTGTCAAGCACTCCAAATTTGGCATTTTGCCTAAGTTATAAAAAAAAAAAAAAAAAAAGATCTGGTGAAAGATCAACTGGAAATTTGCCTGTATGACATTATGCTGGGGGCATGAAACAATGCTTATGTGACTAGTTCCAATTCAGACGCAAGCCAGGTTCAAAGCAACTGATACACAGTGGTGTTCCAGATTATTCATTTATTTCCCTTCCCATGAAATGTCTTCAATGAAAAGCCTATCCACCTGCCAACAAAATCCATCAGCCTGTCATCTCTATCGTTTCTGCACTTCTACTGTAATGATCCTTGGCCATGTCCACCTTTCTGAGACCATTAGTTCATAGAAGGCAAGAAATACATCATATGCATATTTGTTCAACATCTAGTCTATGCCAAATCCATCCTCTTGGGTTGCTTGAGATCCTAGGATTCAACTACATACGTGTGATTTGGGGCAAGTCATCAATCCTTTCTCAGTCAGTTTCCTTTTCTTTTACATTGTGGTAATGGCACCTCCACTGTATTGGAGGGAGGATTAAATAAGGTGATAAAGAGCAAACTGCCTAGCACAGAATTCAACATATAGCAGGGGTGCATCTGTCGTTTGCCTTATTTTTAAGTTCCCAAATGACACGAAGAATGGTGGCATGGGTGGCAGCATAGTCGGGTGTTTACAATCCTGATATCCAATCCCAGCTCAGCCACTTAACGACCAATGGTATGATTTTGAAGTTTCTTAAGGTTTCAAAGCCTCAGTTTCTTCATATGTAAAGTGGAGTTGATGGTAATATCTACCTCATAGATTTGAGTGGCTAAAGAAAGAAAACATAGATAAAGCACCTACCATAGCATCTGGCATATAGATTCCTATAAATGGTATCACTTGTTGCTATCATCTGTAATGGAGGGTGAAAAAAGAAGCAGCAAGATTCCACTCTGAGATGCTTCTGTGTTTTTTCTGGTCTTTTCCTGCTGTATGCATCCTGATGAAGATGAACCCACATTAATAGAGGCAGTGGTTAATTGCCTCCTTGTGGGCTAGCCCTGTCCTGAGGCAGAAAATTACCATATTCTTCTTTTTTCTTGAAGCTTCCAGTGGGATATGTCTGTTCTAATTTAATAAACCTCTTTTTTTAGCGCCTGGCTCAAAGAGGCAATACCACATGTACATTTCCAAATGCATAATTAGTATGAACACTCAGGCCCTAACTACATGGGGAAAGCAGTCTGGGAGAGGGGGGTGTGAGTATCTGTTCACATTCATTTGAAGCAGCGCCAACCAAACTTCCACAGTTAATTGTATCTCAGTGATTTTCTCCTGGAAAAAAATAATTACTATGCAGGGCTCTAGCTGCTGCTTGGCCTTCGTTCATTCCTGACTCTTGAGTTGGCATTGTTTACAATGTTGAGTCAGCAGCAGTCACATAATATGTCAAGCAAGTGGAGTCCGCCTCCCACCCCAAGATTCCCCACCCTACCAGTTCCCTGTTATCAATCCATTTCCTTTCTTGTGTTCCGGCAATACAAGAGAAAATGAAAGATGGGCATGATGGACGTTTACTCTTTTGGAAAAGCACGCTCAAGGTTCATATTGAGCATGCATGCAGAGGGCACCAGGGAAGCAGGGAGCCCTTAACTCGGAAAGACTTTTCTGAATGGGAAAGGTCAGCCCCCAGGAAAATGATGGTTTTCCTTTCATCTGCAGGTAATGCAGGTGGTGAAGGAGCAGGTTATGAGAGCACTTACAACCAAGCCTAGCTCCCTGGACCAGTTCAAGAGCAAACTGCAGAACCTGAGCTACACCGAGATCCTGAAAATCCGCCAGTCCGAGAGGATGAACCAGGAAGATTTCCAGTCCCGCCCGATTTTGTAAGTTACCCCGTATTGACCTCTGTCTCCCAAAAGACTCTAACCCACTATTTCTCGAATGATCTTCTATCACGAAGCTGGGCTGTGCCGTGAGCTCCTCAGGGAAGGTCAGCAGAAGACATTCCGAGGGATCTCTTATTTAGTTAGGGGAGTCTCAGCAGCTCCTTGAGGAAGGGCTGGGCTGAGTGGAGTGGGCCAGGTGTTGGAAGAATGGATCTAAACCAGGAACTGGCCCCGTTAGTGACAAGTCTTCCAGGGATTTGTAGCTTAAAAGTTTGGACCTTTTCCAACACTTGGAACAATTTTTTTTCCCTTTGTCCAGTAAAACTATATTTCATGCGGGTGCCCTTTGAATAGCAAGACCTTCCGAGCCAGCCAGAGTGAGGCCCATCCATAGGTAAAGCAATATGAAAATGAAAGTAGCATGAGTCCAAATGAGTGGGAGTGAGAGCTTGAGAGGAAGAGAGTGAACTACCTCCTCTTTGCCCTGTTGGCACTGGTTGGCATCGCAGCATGCTATATGGCCTTCATGACTATGAACCTACAGTCCTACAGTGGGGAGGCAGCATGCCCCCCTTCACAGGACTTTGCAAGAAACGCCACTTGCAAGCATTGCAAAATTTCACGTATTCCAATCTTTAAAATGTTCTGAACTCACACATGAAGGGTATTTTGCTTGCTTCATCTTTTCTTAGAACTGCTCTGTTTCCCTTCCTTTGTCCTGTTCTAAGAGCTGGGTCAATTTTAAAGAGGAAAAAAATAGGGAAAGGCATATGTGTTTGATATTTATTCTCATTTTGTCCTCAGAAGACTGGACACAGCTTCTTCTGAGCTTTTGCATGAAGCCAACTTGTAACATAGTTTTAATTCTGAAGGCTATACTCCCCTACCACGCACACATGCTCTCTTTCTGTTTCTGATTCTTTCCCTTTTTGTTTGTTGACCTCCAGTATTTGACACTTCTAATGCTTGGCAATTGGTAAAGCACCCTTCATGCTATTTCATTTCTTCACATCCCTGTGAGATGGGCAGGCCTTACTCCTATGCAAAGGCTAGGATAGGCAGGTCTTATTCCTATGCAAACGCTAGTCTGGAGGGGTGAGCACCATGCTAACAAGTGGAGGAGCCAGGACTGAGCCTCAAGTCTACTGACCCCTCAGCTAATATTTTGTTTGCCCTGCCCAAGCTTCTTTGCAATGTGAGAGACTGAAATGAGGTTTAAAAAGTGCACAGGTCTAAAAGGACAATAGCTAAGCAGTAATATCTGTACATTTGTTTTCCAATCTTAAGAAGCACTGTTAGAAACTGTGGAGTAGAACCCTGCAGACTAGTTGGCATGAAGTCAGTCAGCTGGGGAGGGAAAATGCTTCCAAGGTGCTTTGGTTTCATCATTGCAAAACCTAAGTCATACCTGCATAAGCATCAGCTAGCCTTGACAAGAGGTACTGCTGGGGTTTTGCATTGGTCCTCAGCCAGAAGACGGTAACAGCTAGAAACACCAAGCAGGATGCACTTTGGATAAGTGACTGGCTCCTCAGAGATGCAGTTTCTCACCTGCAAAGAGGGACAATGGCTCCTTGCCCCATCCCAGGGCCTACAGTATACTGGATTTCATAACATGTTTCAGCAGATGTATAAACATAGGACACTTTATTATGCTTTTGATAATAAATCTTAAAACCTGAAGGGAGACTTGTGGAATCACTTCCGTTAAAGGCAAGTGACTCTGAATTACATTTGATGAATTATGTTTGACCTTGACTTTTTTCAAGTTAAGACTGTTAACCTCATGGCAAGTGCGAACATTTTACTCCTACTGTGTCTTTGTATCTTCACTTCCTAAGACTTTGCCTGTGACATTCTGAAGTTTCTTTCCCCTTGTATTATAAGATGCTCTTATCTTTGAAACAATCCAAATATGAAGGGAATCTTCTGCATGGATGTAGCTTTTGCATCATCCCTCGGCCATGGACCAAGAAGTACCATGGCCCACTGGAGGTCTTGATATCTGTAGCTGCAGCAAAGTCACAGAGAGTGGTTAGGAGCCACAGCATTTAAGCAGGAGGGCCAGGGACCAGTTTGATATTTACCCCAACCTCTGAAACCGGCAGAGGGTAGCTGCGGTATGTTTTGCCTATTATAGTGATCTACTAGACAGGAATTCATTATGGGGTCACATGAAGTCTAACTTCTGCCAAAATGGCTCACACAATAAACCCAAGTCACCTAAGAGAAAGGAATAGAGGAGTAGACCATGTATGCTTGTTTTCATTCATTTGTTCATTTCACAAACATATATTGAACAATTCCTACGTGCCAGGCCCTGCGCAAGGTGCTGGGGGCAGGCAGAGACCCAGAGACACTTGGTCTCCTTCTGTCACAGGCTAGGATTAGGGGTGGCGGATTTACCATAGACTGGGCTCAGTGCTTAGTTACACGAAGAGCGCAGAGGAGATGGATCTAACCCAAGCTTGAGGGTTAGGATATTGGGATTTTTGAGCTGAAAATCACCCTTAAGGCCATCCAGTTCAAGCTTTTCATTTTGCAGACAGGGACAGCAACTTGGCTGGGGCCTGACCACCAGTGGGGAATCCCACTGGCCATCAGGCTGCCTGCTCCCTCTGTGTATGCCACACACAGCATGGTGGCAAACCTCAGCTCCATGCAGACCACTTGAGCTGTTAATACACCCTGTTGTTATAAAATGGTTATGTTTCCTGAGAAGAAAAATGTAAACTCCATGTGAATAAATATTTTGGGGAATATATATTCAGTGGGTTGAAGAAGCTCTGTTTTATTTCTTAGCTCTTGACTAACTGTTTCAAAGAGGAGGTATTTGTTATGTCTTATTTAGTGCAACTTACCAAGGAAGATAAGTCCATCCACACAATTAATCGGAGTTAATGGTTATGAAAAGTTTGAATAGTCCAAAAATGGATCATTTAACACCATGCTGGAGAGGAAGGGGAGCTGCAAGGACAAACATCAGTGAAAGCAGTGAAGCAAAATGTGTAAAACTTCAACCCAGTTTGCTATCAGACTGACCTGGGGTCATTTACAAATGTGGCTCTGTAAGCAAGTTATGTAATCCATTCTAAGCCTGCTTTCCTCATCTCAAAAATGAAGATATCAGAAGTGTCAAAGTGTCTACATCATTGGATTGTCATAAGGATTTGACAAAGTAATGCATGAAAAACACTTATCATATGCCCGGGCCTTAATATTCACTTGAAGAAATGTTCTGTCTTACTAGCCTGTAATCAGAATTTAACAAGTTGTGATACTGTTGATATGTAAATGATAAAACTGACACTGTGCATGTATTTGTATTAATATATGCCTCTCCCTTGTCTTAGAAAGTACAACAGAAATCAGTGGGAAAGAAAAGCAAAAACAAACAAAGCCAGGAATAAAGCTGATGCCTACCCTGCAAACTTGCATCCTCGCTAAAGATCTGCCACATGCTTCACTCAGAGCTTTCTCATAACTAATGCGAGGGAGACAGTCTGGTCAGTTATACAATGTTCAGTGTTCAGACAGCTGACAAATATCTAATGAGCGCCTGCCACGTGCCAGACACTATTCTATGTGTTGGCAATTCAGTAATGAGGAGAACAGACCTATTTCTTGCCCCTACAGTGATTATATTTTAGTAGGGAGAAAAAAGGCAATACACACAGTGAATAAGATGATAGCATGTTAAGAGGAGATACATGCAGTGGAGGCACAAAGCAAGATAAGGGAAATAGAGTGCAGTTTTAAATATGTTGGTTAGAGTAGCTCTCTAATTAGGATGGTGCCAATTGAGTACAGACTTGCAAGGGACTAAGGGAGCAGGCCATGTGGGTATTTGGGAGAAGGGTATTCCAGGCAGAGAGAACCACCAGGGCAAAGTCCCTGAGGTTGGAGAGGTCTGGGTGTTTAGTGAATAAAGAGGAGGCCAGTGTGGCTGGAGCAAAATAACTGAGGGGGAGAGAGCAATGGAAGGTGAGGCCAGAAAGGTGCAGGGAGCTCCATTACACAAGGCCTTGTTGGGGAGCCATTGGAGGGTTTTGAGCAAAGGAATGATGTGATGTGACTTAGGTGTTTAAATAATCTCTCTATTACTGTATTGGAAATAGACTCTAAGAAAGCAAGTTTTTGGAAGCAGGGAAATCAATGAGAAAGCTATTTTAATAACCCAATCAAGAGGTGATGAGAAATGATTATAGTGTACTGAAAATGAGATCCATTTTGAAGAGAAGAGACAAAGGTATTTCCTGATTGATTAGGAAATATCTAGGGATGTAAGAGAAAGAGAGAAGTCAAGGATGAACTCCTGGTTTTGGGCCTTAACAACTAAAGGACAGACCAAGTGAAGCAGGGGATCAGAAGTTCGGCTTTGGATATATGAAGCTACGAGACGTCCAATTAGACAGTCAGACAGCTGAGCTTGGGGTTCAGCAGAGAGATGGACAGTGGGTAGTTGCTCGGTAGGGCAGGCCCCAAGTCAAAGAAGGAATCTCACCAGTCTAATGGTGCTGTCTGCCTTCTGTGTATGGCAGTGGCCTTACTGGACCTGAACTTGAAATTGTTTTCCAGAAACAGTGCTAGACTTTGAATTGCTCTTCACACACTCTTTAAATCCTTTCTCCTTTAATCTTCTTCCTTTTATTTATTGGCAAGGCCTTTGGATAGAATGAGAAAGATATTTATCAAAGCAAAGCTAGTAAACCCATAGCTCTGGCCTGATTGACCCCAAGCTCAGAATTTCAAAAGCCAGTTGTAGCCCATGAAGTTATTACCTGGCTTACCCCAGAGGGCAGATATCAGCCACAGAAACATACTGTAGGGCTTACTTATGTTTTCTTAACGTGTGTGAATTCTACGGCTACTGAGTCCATTTGCCAGGAAAGAAGAAATTGCTTCGAAAAAGAAAGAGCTGGTGGGCACCTGCCCACCAGCCAGGTAGTGCAATAGAAGGAAAGAGCTGTCTCATTTCCTTCGTTGCCTGGTCACATTTTGGAGTCCTTGGGGGCTTATAACAAAAAAAAAAAAAAAAAGGAGTAATTCTTGTAGCAGCAGATTCTCTTATTCTGATAGTGCATCCTCACAATATGGTTCCATGATGAAATGTGTTGTGGCAGGCACCTCTGGGTCTTACAAGAAAAAGTCATAAAGCATCAATTAAGATTACTCAGAATTCCTTCAATTGTTTCCTTCTCTTGGTCTTCATCACTGCATCCTCCGCTCCATTTTAATAACTCAACCCTGGCCTAGTGAAACTATTATTTAAATATATATATCTATAACCTAAGAATTGATGAAATTCCAGAACTCTTTCTCCCAGATTTTCTCCATCCTCTGGTACCATGTCTTTGTGTGCGCCCGGTCACCTGGACTTGGAAGTTGATTTATAAATAAAGTGATTTATTGCTGTGTGCAACTCCCTGGCAGATACCAGCTTTCTTTTCCACTCAGTGCAGGGTTCATCAAAGCTGCAATTTACTGAGTCCATTTTAGAAGAGCTAAGCGCTGATAATAAATAGTTTAGTGATCTGAAAGTCTGAAATGAGACCCTAAGAGACCTGTACAGGGAAGACTTTACAAATGTCCCAAACTATTATTAGGACTGAATTTCCATATTATGCTTTATAGATGTTCAGTTGCAACAGTATCAAATGAGAGAATGTTTGAGGGCACTTAAGCCTCAAAAAAATGTGTTAATGGAGTACTAGAATACCCTGTTAGATGGCCTTATCCTTTTATGTAACTTTTTTCTTTTTTCTGATGAGTAAATCAAAGCAGTTTGCACAAGGAAAACCTAAGTCTGTGCCCATATTCTACACGTAACCTCTGTGAGTTGTTTCCCCTTCTGTAAGATGGGAATGATGAAATTAATACCTTCCCCAAAAGATGTTATTTTCAGGAAGGAGGGGAGGAAGATTAAATGAGCTAAAACTGCATATTGCGCTACCCGGCTCACAGTAGGTGCCCAACAAGCATGAGTCCCTTTCTCGCCTTGGAATGGAGCACCATGTGAGAACAGGTTGCTGGCAGTTCAGCGTCAAGGCAGGTCCAGAGTTAAGGTGGAAGCTGATGAATGTGTGAACCTTGACTACAGGGTAATATAGGCCTATGAACTGTTTGGCTTGAGGAAAGGAGAGAATGTCACCAAAGCAAATTCAGTTGTGCCTTACATTCCTGCTCAGTGCTTAATAAAGACTTGTACTCTGTCTCATTTGGGAGTCACAGCAGGAAAGATTCTTATTCCCATTTTATAGATGAAGAAACTGAGACTTAGATGAGCTACGTGAAATGCTAGTCATGGGGGCAGAGCCTAGACTGAAGCTCTAGTCTTCTGACTTGTAGATCTATGTTCTGGCCAATGCTTCTTAGAACACTGCTGTGAGGAATGGGCTCTGGGTCTCTCTGTCCAGCTTCAACTAGAATAGTTTTGGCTTTACTAAACTCAAATGCTAGGGTGCTATGTAAAATTTCCTGTGATAAAAATTTCTGCTCTAAAAAAAACAAAACCATTTCACTCTATCATGATATCTTTGCAGCATAATGGATCTCAAACTAAATTATATTGCATTAGCCTGAGACAAGATGCAAATAATCTTTCGTTTATCCCATGATTATCTCAGTCTCTGTGGGCTAGAATCTGGGACAGTGTTGTCCCCATTTGTGAATGATGGAATTCGAAGCAAAAGTGGTCCTGTGGTTTGCTCACTATCCAGTGTTTGCTGTGGAATAGTAATCGTGTGATTGCCTAATAAGCCTGTTTAATCATCACAAATACAGTCTCAGAGTTTACCTGGTACAGGGGAAAAAAAGTTGACCAAGGATTGATTGTCTTAGCAGTGCTGAATGGATTTTTGTGTAAGTTTATATCTGTGGCTTTGGAAAATAAAAGAAGAAATTTCTCAGGACACTTAGCTCCGGAAAAACATCACTGAAGTGACTGGTGCTTTGTGGAATTCTGTAAATGTCACAGAATCTATTGTGGTGTTGTACTTATGCCCCTGGCCACTGACTCTTAATAAACACTTCTCTAAAGCGCCAAGTTGGAGGTATTAGATAGTCATGAAAAGATGCACTTGTTCTCCCCTGCCCGTCTGCCCATGATGCCCACCAAGCCACACTCTGTTTCTCAAGGCATGCTGTGGAATGTGTTTTTCCTCTAACAGGGAACTAAAGGAGAAGATTCAGCCAGAAATCTTAGAGCTGATCAAACAGCAACGCCTGAACCGCCTCGTGGAAGGGACCTGCTTTAGGAAACTCAACGCCCGGCGGAGGCAAGGTATTGTTTCTGGGGACACTCCAAACTTGGACAGGGTAAACAGTGGCCTGCTCCCTGGAGCATCACAGGGGTGTGGTGTTGGTTTAAGGGTAGGCCATGCAGCATTGTACTCAGGACAGGAATAGCAGTCCAGGTCATTTCTGCTTCCCATGCACACCCAGAGAGAATCAAAGTCCACAATTACCAGAAGAGCCACAGAAATGAAGAGCCATTCTTTGCCATTTAGTGCCACAAAACTGCTAGTGGTGGTGTCAACAATAGCTGACATGTATATGAGCCTACCATGTGCCAGATGCTTCTGAAACTCTAGTCTTCTTACTTCCAGATCTATGTTCTGGCCAATACCTATTATAATGCATTACTTTATCATGCATTTTATCCTCACCATAACCCTAGGAAGTAACTACTAGGATTATGCCCAGTTTACAGATTAGGAAATAGAGGCACTAAAGGGCTAAGAAACTGGCCCAAAGTCACAGAAGAGCAAGGATTCAAACTCCACAGCTCCAGGACCCTTCCTTTTAATGACTCCCCTTGGTGCAGGACAGCTGGCACCCACTGTTGGGTTTGATCTTGAAGCTTTCAGCGTGGATGGCCCTTATTGTCAAATCCCCCACACTGCTTCTCTTCTAGGACAGAATTATTTCATATGGGAATATAAGTAAGTGAACTAAGATAGGGTAGCATCACTTACATAATTTCTCAAGACAGATTTCTGAATTGTCTCTATAAATTCTAACTTCAAAATGTCAAATCCAAATGAATGTCAAAAGACTAGACTCAACAGGTGGGAAACATGTCTAGCTGTTTCTTTCCTGGACAAGTAAAGCACCCTTGACTGTTTTCTTGCTCTCTTGACATGCTGCTGATTGCACAGCTAGAGTCTTCATACCACACACTCCTAGAAGCAAACAGCCAGAACATAAAACTGTAAAGTAAGATTTGGGAAGAGGCAAAGAGATTGAAGAAGAGGCAGGAGCAAGCACAGGCATTAGCAACTATACTAAGAACACCAGTTATGGCCCAGGAGAAACTTTGGCAGATATTTTGAAACCTGCTGAATGCCCTGCTCAGCCACAGAGCTCACCCACTAATGACAAAAATCATTTTGTGTTTGTCAGCTGAACTCATCCCCCGGCCATTTACTTTAACTGTCCTGTGCTGCATATTCAGTAAATTGGAAGTGTTTCTCATGTCACCATTAAACATCACATTGAGGAACTTCCGAAGGCAGAACTTCCTGGAGGAAGGAAAATGCAGTTTCTTCACAGAGGATGAGAAGCTCTTAGAGTGAATTTCAGGCTGAGCCTCGGGAGAGGACAATAGGCAGAATAATAAGGGCTGAGTTACAGAGAAAGCCTCCTATTAGTGAGAGCAGTGGAAGAGGGAATTCCTCCCTCCCGTTCAGCCACTGAAGGATGAGTTCATGCCCTCCTCTCATCGCATTCCTTGCATCAGGTATCATGTCAGAGTAAATGGTGTTCCAAGAAGACCACAGGGCTCAGTGGCAAGGACATAGCCCCAGAACCGGGCAATGTGGGTGCGGTCTTGCCTGTGCACCTGTCCAGCTGTGTGACCTTGGGCAGTTTCCCCATCCGAAATGGGGATAGCAATGCCTGTCTCCTAGGGCTATCGTGAGGAAGAGAGGTGATTATGAATGTAGCAACAATAAACAACAAGAAAAGGGAGCTACTATTGTTCTTTAACATTGTGTAGGAAAAAAGCAGTGAGCCAGAGTGAGTGGACTTGGTGCTAGACTTCTCAGTTCTTTAATGAACCATCTAGGTGTCTTTAGAAGGACACATGACCTCTCAAGGCCCCAAGTTCTCATCTGTAAAGTGGGAGGACAGGATTAGGGGATCCAGGAGCTCATTTAGTCAGAGAGCCGATTGTATGCCCTGATGTCTTTTTTGCCTTTGGAAAAAATCAATGTTTGGGATATACTGCCCCCATAAAGATGATTTATAAGATTTTTACTTACTTGACATTGGGCAAAGGACACAGAAGTTTGGGGATGGGAAATGGCAAATAGACACCCAATGCTTCTACTGCTGCCCAGCTAGAATCCCTCACAACCTAGCTCCTAGCACCAATTTAACCTTCTAGTCTACTGCGTCATGAGAATTCCCTGGCTAGGTTGAAGTGGATAGGTTCTATCAGAATAATCCTGTTTCTAGATGTATTAATTAACAGCGTTTTTGTTGTTGTTGTTGTTGTTTAAAAAATGTTAGTCCCGTATCTGTAAATTTTTCCAATTTTCTAATAATGAACTACCTCCTGAACAAAAAAAATATTAGCATCTAGATTATAAATTTATGAGTTGAGCTCCCTAGGGAGCATGACCATCTGTGTTTAATACAAAATCATCCTTCCGAGTGCAGAAAGGAAGGCTTTTTGGTATTTGGTAAATGGATTTGAAATCTGGTGACTGGTTCTGTGCTTAAAAATAGGGATTCAAAGCAGACTGTGCTGAAATTGGTTTCCTATCACCCCATCAAAACATTCCATTTAGATTTACACAGATTAATGAGAACATGACATTTTTAATCCCTTCAAAAAAGATGCACTTCTACATGAGACCTCAGACTGGGATGGACAACTGCCTGCCAGATGTCATCACAGGTTCAAGAGCAGACACTCCCAGTGCAGGAGCCAGCACCATACTCCCTTTAAACTTGTCTGACAATGAATAGGATACAGATGAGTGAATTTAAGTAGTTAACTTTATAAGGGAAAATATGAAAGAACTTACAGTTCCACAGAACTGGAAAGTGATGGAACAAATAGAGAGTACTCGACTATGCCACGTTTGGCTAGAAGATCCTTGAGTTGATACTTGGCGATCCTTCTGTCTGTCTCATGTGCAACTCTGCTACTGGAATAGTCAGATGCAGACATTTACAGATCTGGGTTTCTGGGAATTCTAACCACATTAGAACTGGGAGGTAATATTTCTCAAAAGACACAATCAGCTGGGCTGAAGTCCCTGCTCCCTACTCACTAGCTGGGTAGCCTCGGGCAATCTGCTCAATGTCTTTGTGCTTCTCTTTCTTCTTCTTTCAAATGGGGATGATGTTAGTTCCTCTATCAAATAGCCGTAAGGGGTAAGTAAAATTATACATCTATAGCACTTTGATGCTGGGCAGATTATCAAACATTCATTGATGATGTTGGCTATTAATTTTAGCTCGTAGTGCCTCAGAATATAGAATTTTTTTTTTTTTTTTGGAGACAGAGTCTTGCTCTGTCACCCGGGTTGGAGTGCAATGGCATGATCTCAGCTCACTGCAACATCTGCCTCCTGGGTTCAAGCAATTCTACTGCCTCAGCCTCCCAAGTAACTGGGATTACAGGTACCCGCCACCATGCCTGGGTAATTTTTTGTATTTTTAGTAGAGACGGGGTTTCACCATGTTGGCCAGGCTGGTCTCGAACTCCTGACCTCAGATGATCCACTTGCCTCGCCTCCCAAAGTGCTGGGATTACAAGTGTGAGCCACTGCACCTGGCCAGAATATAGATTTCTAAACACAGGAGGTGGAGTGGCATTGGAGGCCACTAACCTGCATCACTCCACTCTCTCCCCAAGCTTATACTTACTGACCATGAAGTATAAGCCCTGGTCACAGAATCCTTGGAATGGAAATTGCCTGGCTTCTGTGTTCCCTGGACTCCTGCAGGAGAGATTTCAGATGAAACCCCAGAAGTTGTCTGTGTTAGAGACACTGTATTAGTCCATTCTCGCATTGCTATAAAGAAATGCCTAAGACTGGCTAATTTATAAAGAAAAGAGGTTTAATTGGTTCATAGTTCTGCAGGCTGCACAGGAAGCATCACAGCTTCTGCTTCTGGGGAGGCCTCAGGAAACTTCCAATCATGGTAGAAGGCAAGGGGTGAGCAAGGAACTTCACATGGCCACAGCAGGAGGAAGACAGGGAGAGGGGAGGTGCCACACACTTAAATAACTGGATCTCAAGAGGACTTTATCACTATACAGTACCAAGGGGAGGATGGTGCTAAAACATCCCTGAGCACTCCGCCCCCATGATCCAGTCACCTCCCACCAAGGACCCACCTCCAACACTGGGGACTACAATTCCACATGAGATTTGGTGAGGACACAGATCCAAATGGTATCAGCCACTGTTTGCTTCATGAGAATCTGTAGGCTCAAGAACTGCCCCCTACTTCTCTTGTATTTCAGAGATGAAGGTCTTTCAGAATCACTTGCATTGAATGGCCTTGGTGAGAGTCCAGGGCTAACATTGGAAATCATTTCAAGAAGTGATAACATGAAACCTCCTGCGGAGGACAGTGTCTGTTTCATTGACCAGCATTCCCTAAGTGCTGACATGACAGGCTTATCTTGGAACTCAGTGTTGGGCAAAATGCATGCCTACCACTCCTGCCAACAAGGCTGGTATATCTTATATTGCTCTGGAGGCCCCGTCAGAAGACCTAGAGCCAAGTGGTGCGTTCGGGCACGGTAACCATATTGCCCTGTGGTGGGGAGCAAGTCATTCCTTTCTCCATCCTTGGTTGAAATTTTATTTTAATATTTTGTTACAAAAAGGCAGGTATAAATAAATACATATTTTCAATTTATGAAAAGCCAGTTCATTTTCAGGAAAAAAAAAGGCACTTCCCAATAGGTCAGAATAATGCATAATCATTGTTCCCAAAAGATGGAGGGACAGTAGTGTGGACGAGAGGGACTACTATTGACTGGAAGAGCAGGAAAGTACAAATATGTTTTAAGAACCAATTCTGGAAGATGTAGGATCCATACTTTATGTGTATTTTACTCATATAATTATGACCATTATACTTATGAAGAACAGGGATTTCTGAGGTTTTTAGAATTAGGCCAAGGCCCCGAAGCTAATAAGAATCAGAACCAGGTGTGTCACCCAGGTATGTGTGACTTCAAGGCATCTATTAGACCAAATCATCTTGAAAAGTACCTGGGGACTCAGTTGTCATTTGCTGTTAGCAGCTGTGTCCAGGGAGGCAGAATTCAGAATCAAAACACAAATCTGTCCTTTTAAAGAAAGCTCAGTGAAGTGAGGAAGATTTGATGCCCTTCGTCGGTATCGATAGTTGTTTCCCTTTTTTGCACCAACAAAAAAAATCTTAGATCTCATCACCCGAAAGATGACATTTCCCTTTAAACACATTGCTGGGTCCCTCTTGTTTTGTGACTTGGAAAGGTTGGACCTTAGGCAGAAAGCTGACCTTGTTCTGAATACACAGAAGACTTGGCACATTTTAGGTTATCCTTGGGAAAATTCAGAATCCTCATGGAAGTGTTCTAAAGACATCTTTTACAAAAACCTGTTCTCCTCCCTAATATGGGACTCTTAGGGCCTCTGGGGTCAGCCCCCAGCTGCTGACAGCGGGCTCTGCACTCAAGACAAAGATGTGTCCTGATTCCACGGCAGTCTTGGGGCTTGGTTCTTGCTGTGTCCTGTGTCTCACTGAACTGGCTGGCATTTCACACCTAGCAGTGGTTGCTACTGTTCACCTTGCTGGGCTCTCCCAGAGACCTGGGGACCAGCCCCAAGCTTGTCTTCAGCCTGGATGATGAAAACAGACAGTGGGCTACACTATCTGATAGAACTACCTATGGCTGTTTAAGTTACTTAAAATGAAAGAAAATTTATAATTTGTTTTCTTAGTATTGGATAAAACAGATAATAGAGAATTTCCATCATTGCAGGAAGTTCTGTTGGACGACACTGCAAAAAATTACAGTTGACAGTGGTTATTAGCTCCATAGCAATCTATGTGACATTGGGAATAGCTTTAATCAGCCCTTCTTACCAGGCTCGTGAGCTGTGAAAGCAGCTTTTCCCTCTTATCCCTCACACACACACACACACACACACACACACACACACACGATTGAAACACGAAATTCTCCCCATATTTTGTTTTGGGTTTGGAGACCAAGCCTGGCTATTAACATACTCTCATTAGTCATTGACTGGAAGACCTCCATATTAACTCTTATTTTCACCTAAATGCTAGTAAACAATCTTTGATAATGTTCTCACTGCTTCCTGCTAATTGCTTTTAGTGATGCAACTCACTCTTTCATCGCCCAGAGGGATAAAGGAACGAGTAACATCATGCTGGGGTTTGAAAGGAAAATACACATTTTTCTTGCCATAAAAGAAACTGCAAATCAAGCTGCTGCTGGTGGCTGACACTGAAACTGTCTCACCCAACATGTCGACGCACTGTGCTGATGCTATCCTTGTAGCGGCTTTCCCTTCAGGACAGAAATACACAACGTCTAAGCCTTCCAAACCTTAGGACTCCAGTTTTACTGTGAGGAAGATACTGGCTGAGTAGCCTCCCATTTGATTATGAGTCAAGACAAGTTTCTCAGCCTTTTCGGCCCCTTTTTCCAATATTTTGCCATCCATCCAAGACTTTCTAATTGGTGGGGAGGAGTGGAACACATCACTTATATCTGTGATGTACCGATCTTTTTGCTTTTTATCGTTTTAGTAGTAGACAAAAGAAAAGAAACTTGTATAGGATAAGAGAACAGAGGTAGGAGGAAAACCAGGACAAGATGGTGTCATACAAGTCAAGGGAATTTAAGCTCTGGAAAGGAGGAAGGTCTGTCTGCTGTAGACCCTTTGGGTTTTCTTTAAGCAAACATCAACTGCAACTTTGCAAGGAAGATGGCTGTTTTCCCTCTTGAAACTCTAATAAATAGCCACTGTTCTATAATCATTTCCGAATGTAAGAATGTGTTGAACAAGAGATTTCTGCATTCCTCTTTTTCTCCATAGGCTAGCCAGAGTTACTGATTTGTCCCAGTTCCTACTTCCCAGACCTGGGAAACAACATCTTTCTCTCTTAGCTGCCATGAAGAACTGAGGGAGCTCCTTTTCCTTGAGCTCCTTGGCCTTGTCTTTCATGTCTGCCTTCCATTCTAAAGATGTTTCACTACACCGAATAGAGTGCTGTGTGCATTGTAGATAGCCACGCAGCAAGTATTCACTGGATAAACAAATTTATCCTGAAAGTACAGCAGCAAAATTTTTGAAATCTTACAAATCAATGTATCTTACATGTGAATATTAAGCTGTGCAATTTACTCTATAATAATATATGTTTGTATTATACTGTGCACCAGTTAAATTTCTTAATTCCTCTCCTCAAAATCAATTGAGTGTCATTGATCTTGTTTGATTGTGACACATTGGCTTGGCTTCAAGTCCCACTGCTGACCCCTAGAGTTTACTTAACCCAGCTCGAGAAGTAAGGGATTCCTATGAAGCACAGGCTAAGATCTAACTCACAATAAGGCCAGCATGTCCAAGTACCACTTCTCACTGTCTTCCTTCCCAGCCTCTATTACCCTTTAGTTGCTCACTTAGCCAAACATATCACCTAGATGCAGCAAGGAAAGGAAAACTTTATGGCAGATTTCTCCAGCTGGCTTTCTGATCATCACAGCCACGTAGGGCAGGGGAAAGAACCTGTGCGGAGAGGCAGCTGCCACAGGCCCCCAACAGCACGGTTGACGTTCGGAAAGCCATTGCCTCCTGCTCTGGAATTCACAATTCCTGTTGTGAGTTACAAGTCAAATTCCCAAAGTTGCTGTCCTCATGGAAAACCCATAAGTACACATTTGCCTAATTTAAATGTCTGTGGATTACTCAGAGAATAACTGTTTTCTCCCTTTGAAATGTTCTCCCAGCAAAATGACCCATGTTTGGTATATATATAGCATAATTTTGAAACTTAGCAATTTCAAATGTTTTCCTAGCTGTTAAATGACCTTTTTCCTGCTCAATTTTTTCCACCAGAGTTCAGATTCCTTTAAATCTATGGATTGCTGTATTCTGACTATGCTTCGGAATTCTCAAACCCTATTTAAAGACAAGGAAGATAAGAATCACAGAGACGCTCTCCTTTTGTGGATCAAATTTGGGCATTTTCTTTGTTTATTGTGTGGCTTTTACTTCCATTCTTAAAACTTCTATTTCTATTAAAAGAATCATAATTAAACCATGGGTTTGCAGTGACAGCAATTTTAGAGAGAAAACCACTTTTCTTAAAATATAATGAAGAGCTTTTTAGTCAGAGTGGCTTCAAAACAAATTATATTTCAGGCACAATAATGAGGTAACTTGGCCAAGGCCTCAAAGGGTACCAACCGCACAGTGGCGCAAAGGGGCTTGTAGGTGACAGACACTTCTTGCCTTAGGCATTTTGATCAGGTCCCCTTGGGTCTTCATTTATCAGCTTAGCCAACACCAACTGTGCAACTTTTATGTGTCAGACACTGCCAAGAGATTGGGACATTGCAATTATGAAGACAGTGACTGTCAACAGAGAGACTGAGAGTCTTCCACACTGTCAGGGCTGGAGTCCTCTTCTCCTATCAGTATTGTTCACAATACACCCTCAAGGGCAAGTTGCTTACCTAGGGTCTGTAGCAGATAATGGGAAATACTAAGGTGTTAACATTAGGCTCCAATATTGCCAGTCCAAGCCAAACTGGTGGTGCAAAGGAGACTCTAGAACATCTCAGAGGATGGGGAGAGGCCCTTCAGCTGCAGGGATCAAAGGGGGCTTCCTGGAGGAGACAGCTGCACAAGCATTGCTGTCACAGTTCAAGTCCCTAATCTATAAAAAGTGCTCTTTGCCTCTTTCTTCCTGCCTCATAGGCTTACTCAAAATTTCTTCTCACTTTTGAGAGACTGAGGCAGTAAAGTCGAGGAAGTTGTTTATAAGAATGATCCTAATCCCCTGGTCATGCCTATCCAGATAAGCAAATTCTGGGAATTGGAGAGGAGAATGATTGTGCATGTCCCCATTCTGTAGCTAAATCCCTGAATTATTTAGATGAATTCCTCATGAATCCCACCCACCGTGTGTATCACCAGTTTCCTAACAATTCGTTCATGATTAATGTGTGTGTAGTAGCCTAGGGTAGGGGTTTGTTGTATCAGCTAAAATATGGCCTTGGACACAACTGTCTCAACAGTCTGAATTTCTCAGAGAGGAAAGTGGAAGCAGAAACATTCTGAGAAATCTGTTTTTTTCTACATCTCCCTCCCTCTTTTGTCTGTAAATGAATACGGAGCAGTTCCTATGGTGGTTATCATTAGTGATAAAATACCCTCTGGAAACCACCACCTCTTAAAATCTATTGCTGTTGAGCTTGAAGGGGTCGATGACTTTACTAATGGTTACCAAATGTATAGCAAGCAAGACAGGTGATAAGTAAATATCAAACTCAAAAGCGAAGTTACTGTGCAGGGCCCTAGAATTCATCCTTCCTCAGGACTTAAAATCAGATGAACTGCTTGTTTCCTCCAGGCAAGAGTATTAAGAAATAATCAGGATCGTGTTTCTATAAACCAGAATCACTTACCTTGTAAACTTGTGTTTTTTCTCTCAGGCAAGTGTATTAAGAAATAATCAGGATCGTGTTTCTATAAACCAGAATCACTTACCTTGTAAACTTGTGTTTTTTCTCTCAGACAAGTTTTGGTATTGTCGGCTTTCGCCAAATCACAAAGTCCTGCATTACGGAGACTTAGAAGAGAGTCCTCAGGGAGAAGTGCCTCACGATTCCTTGCAGGACAAACGTAAGTAGCTCTCCTTGGCAGAGGCCTGAGTGTTGGTCCGTTGGTTGTTTCCTAATCACAATATATCATGCAGCGAAACTATCAGCCTAAGTAAACCCTTTGAACACATCTCATCTAGTTGTAAGTCTTGGCCTGAGCCATCTCATCAAGTGCAAGACCTGGATGGACTTGGGCTTTGGAACTGAACGGGGGAGAATGTAAAATGGATGCAAAGGTATCTTCACTGAAAGACGTAAACTTGGGGTTCAAATGTCCGCTTTTTACATTGTTTATCCAGGTGCTGTGTCAAGGAGCAAAACCAATACAAACCTGACTCTGTCAGTTGTCTTTTTCTGAAAACCCATAATAATTTCTTATTTTCATAATTTATATGTCTGACCCCTACAACATTTATTCTTTACAATTTTGTGTATCCCATAGTTATGACACAGAGTTAATGGCAGGTCCAAATATAGCTAGTTTCCCTCAAAGACACTGAAAATGATGATCAGTTACCTCTACTGTTTGCTAAATATTTCTCTTGTATATTTTTTGACTTTTTCTGTATGTTGTCTGTTTTAACATGCATGCTTTTGAAGAGACAGTAATGTGCAGGATTCTTTTAGCCCCACACGGAACCAGGTGCCAGGTTATTTTGACAGTGTTAGCCATACAAATTAAACAAGTATTATAGAAACACTGAAATACACAAGGGTGATAAATTAATTTGAGGAGAAATGAGATAAAATGAACGTAGCCTCAGAGGATATCCCAGGTAGAAAAATCCGAGAGGGAGAAAACATTCAGAGCACTTTTAAATAACCTTTAAAAGTCACCTTGACCTTGCAGTATTCAGATAAGCGTGTCCCAGATAGAGTCCTTACCCAGAGTCTCACACCTTCTGTCCTGTCACCCTGGGGCCCATGGAAGTCAAATCTGGATTGCCTTCCTTACAACTCATGGCCATTGAAGGCGAAAATAACCCAGGAGTAGGAAATTTCCTGACACATTCAGACTCTGCGCTGACATCTCAGGCAGACAGCCTGGAACATTCACTCTTCCTCCAGCTTAAAAATGGGACAGTCTGGTCTTTGTAGTGTCATTTAGTTCAGAAAACAATCTTGTTTTCTTTCATAGGAGAACTTTCTTCCCAGCCCACATTATTGGCTCCCTAAGTCAGGGTTTACAGAAAGAAATCTGAAATCCACTGCTGCAGAGAGCCTGGGACACTGTCTATGCCTCCCTGCTTTGGGGCAGGAGTTAGGGGTGTCCTGGGCCTCTACCTGTAAATGAGGATCCTCCCTTTACAGTTCAAGCCTTCCCCACCCCACCTTGGCCAAGCTATAGACCAGTGATTCTCTAAACGTGGTCCCTGGAACATCAACAGCAGTATCACCTCGGAACTTCTTAGCAATGCACATTCTCAGACCCCATCCCCAGCCCAGCTGAATCAGAAACTCAGTGGGTGGGGACTGGCCATCTCTGTTTTAACAGATGTTCCAGGCGGTTCTGACATACACATTTTGAGAGCTGTGATTCCCCAAACGTGGCTTTCACTAATAATTAAAAAAAAAAAAAAAAAGTTTAAGTAAATTAATAGTATGTTGCTAACTTTTAACTTGGGCCCAAAAAAAAGGATATTAAAAAAATAAAATCTAACTAAAGTTTAATATCACAACCCTTTCATGAAAGAAAGGACCCTCAATTACAAGAAAATAAAAAGAAGGACCTAATCTTAGATAAAAGACAGTCCCCTCTGCTAAACTAAATTAGCTCGCTGAAAAACTCACACCGGTGTCCTCATTTTTCTGCATTTGCTATTAACTGGTGAAAATCTCACTGGTGTGAACTCCCCTGTGAACTAGGAACTGACCAGAGCCCAGCGATGTGGAATCACTGCTCTGCAGTTGGAATCACTGCTCTGCAGTGGTTAAACAGAAAGAGTTAGAGGTTATTGTTGGTTGAAACAAACAGCAGCTCCCCAGGAGGTCCGGGCCCCACAGCCCCATTCTTAACCTGTCACAAGGGGAAAAGTGGTCAGGACAGAACAAACACAACCTGACTCCCCATATGGTCCAGTGAATCTGCTCTCCCACTAACAGGACATAGTGTTTAGCCCCGTGTTTACAGGGATGTAATCACTTCTCAACCCAAAGATAGGCACTTGACTGACAGGTTTACCAGGTGTTAGCACAGCACCCCCATGCTAAATGGCCAGCTACCTAGGAAATTGGCAGCCACAGCAACAAAGCCTTGTGTAGGGGCAGTTCCTGGTCTTGCCCACAAGCTGATGTCCCCCAGCTCTGCTAAGACCCTCACCCCCAAGACTCCAGGGTGAAAATAACTAACCTGGAACCAGAGGTGCTAATGCCAGGGAGAGTCGGCTTGCCAGGGTGAGTGCAGGAGAGCAAGGCCACAGCTGCAAATCTCCACACAGCTTTTCACAGTGGCCACTGAGCAAGGCTGGTTCTTGAAGGGGTTGTGATAGCCCCTCCTGACCATGCCTCCAAAACTCTTAGCAACCGTTTTCCTCTGAAATGAAGTTCCAAAGAGCTGCTCCAAAAACAGTTTATCCATTGCATGATGAACTAAGATTGCATACTTGTGCGGATCTATTTATCTGCACAAGTATTTATCCACACCTTGTGGGAGAGTGTGTGTGTGAGAGAGAAAGAGAGAGTGTGTGTGTGTACTAGTAAGATTGTATCCTTCTGCACGTATGTGCTAGAGAAATGGGGATACTCATGTAATGAGTTGAAATGAAGCAATACTGTGCCTGAGACAAAAAAAAAAAAAAAAAAAAACGGCCTAGGAAGCTGAGGTTTCCTGCTGCAGGCCTGCCACCTTGGTTTGCATTTAATTCCAATTCTGCATTCTGCCTAGAGCAAAATAGCCACCTTTTGGAACCCTTAAAAGTCAGAAACCCCATTCCACTGGAAAAATGAGTCGTGCCTTTAATTAATGTTCAGTGTCATTGCTCTTGCCATGTACCATTGCCCTCTCTTGAGACCAAGGCAGAGATCGTCTTGCGCCCCTTGAGTTAATCAGTGCTGAATACTGAGCTATTGATAAATCAAATAGTAAAATGGAGTTTTCTTAATACAGACAGTGCACATGATTGAGGGTGCCTCTTCGGCTGTCTTCTCCAAAGCTTTAGGAAATCTTTCATTTTGTGTTGCTTTTCTTTGTCAGGAAACTTGGCCTTTGAAAATCGACATCTTCTTACAGCCCCACCTTCCCCATATCCCTCCCAAGCTGACTTACAGGTTGTCATAGCCCCCAACAAACACAGGACCCCATTGCTTTGCAGCCATGCCCTGGGTTCCTCACTGCCTCCCTTTGAAAGAATCTAGGCCAGCATTCCTCACTCCCACATCAGAGGGGGCAGGGAGGAAAGTGCTGGCTCACCCGCCCATGCGGAGATTAAGCCTGCTCCAGTGGATGCAGAAAGCGGCAACACAGAGAGGCACCGTAGGCAATTTGGGTCACCAAAGCACACAGAATAATTCAGGTCCCTCCATCTACAGAATTAACATTATCTGATTATTGATAATGGGAATAATTGCAAATGGCATTTATTGAGTGCTTACTATATACCAGGCCCTATGCTAAGGGCTTTACGTAAATTATTCTCAACAACCTAAAGAGGTAGATAATATTGTCTATATTTTACAGAAAGGAAACTGAGATACAGAAAGATTAAGTAACTTATTCAAAGTCATAAGATTAGTAAATAGTAAAGCAAAGATCTGAATGTAACTGTCTAACTCCATGGCCCAGATTTTCACCCACTACTGTGTACTGCCTAGATTAAAAATCAACAGTGATCTCAGCTCCAGCATCAGGATTTAACTCTCAGAGCAACCATATGGGATAGATAATGTTAGCGTTACACATTGCAGACAAGGAAACTGAGGTTCTGAAAACTTAAGCCCAAAGTAGTAGAGGAGGTTAGTGGATGTAGAATTCAAACCCTGGCACTCTGATTCCAAAGGCACATCTCTCCCCACCATTCCATGTCATGTGGCTGATCTGCTTAGCCAAAGAGACCAGATTCTTCATGCAGCTATCCTGGGATCAGCCTGTACCTCCTCATATTTCTACCCACAGGAGCTTCTACTACGGAGCTGTGCACACAGCAAGAGCTCAAGCCTTCCTAGCTACTTCCTCTGAATGGTTTCTGCCTGAACTTGGATCTCAGTGATGAAAGCTGAAACTGTTTTCATCGTGGGTGGCCACATTTGCTTTTTCAGTAGTAGTTTTGTTTTAAATCACAATTAAACTTCCTTCCACGGGTATTAGCAATCAAAGAGTTTCCTGAACATCTGAAGTGATAACTACCTTTAGTGCTGTGCTCAGCATGATTTAGGGGGCTGGCCCCTTACAAAGGGAGAAATCATGGCCTAACAAGGGAACATGGAGTGGAAGAAGAATCACTAAACCCAGCTCTTTTCCCCTACTAGCCTAGCTCTGTGTCATTGCACAATTGATTTCCTCCCTTTAGGGTCAGTCTTCCCATCTGTAAAATAGGAGTGTTGAATTAAGATGGTCTCAACCCAGCTCAAACTATAAAAAGCATAGAAAGAAATGAGGCCATGCCCCAGGGGGTAAATGTGGCGGGAGGGTTCGTTCTTCACTGGTGACCCTGATTCTCACAGATCTGGACCCCCCTTCTTTATAGTGCTTCCATGAAAAAGGCCTCATCAAAATGCTAGCCTGGCTTTGAAGTCATCAAGAGCTCCCTGCGGTCTCCTTAGAGTGTAGATTCCGGAGATATGGGTCTGACCCCTCTGTTTCTGCTCATGAGAATAGAGAGGCCAGCATTTGAGCCTTTCCAATGCCTAATCTTCTGGTGCATCTAGAGACAAACTATGCAAAAAGCAACCTTTAAAAGCTACACTGTATTTTTAGAACTTTTTGTTTTCCTTTTAGTCATAATCCTATGAATGATGTAGCAGCTGGTCTCTAGGACAAGGGACAATGCATATTAAAAAATAGACATGTACTTCCACGAAACCTAGTGAAAAAGTGACTCTTCTCCTTGGAAGCCTTTCTGTTAGAGATTCTGAAGACCACCCCCAGGACAGACTATGGTGTTACTCTTATCACATTCCATTAAATGGGTTTTCAAAGCTAAGGGCTAACTTACCAATTGTAGACTGTGGACACTCTCTCTGGTTCATGGACCATGCTGTATATTATAACACAAAAACTTTCTACAAGGCACTTGTGACTCAAACTCTATTTGAATCTTGAGAACGTTTTTTAGAATGAGTTTGTTGACTATATCACATTCCCTTCAATGGTGGTTTTCCATTGGAAAGTTAGCCAACTTCCCAGAGTATCCAAATGTCCCTTCCTAGGGTAGGGATTAGGCAGCCAGATCAGCTACTGAGGGAAAGGAGGCCAGTTTTTGGTTATGAAAATGGATTTGAGGAGAACTGAAGTCAGTGTTCATGGTCAAAGGTGGGTTCAGGAATCACAGAGACCACCCACAGGAAGATGCCAACCCCAAGGGGGTCAGGCAAAGAGGCAGAAAAGGGATCTGAGATCAGTCAGGTGGGGCTATATTGCTACCATGTGCTGCAGGGATAAACAACCCCAAAATCTCCATGGCTTGCACAACAAAAAGTTACTTCTCACTCACTTTATACAACATACACAGGTTGGCAAAGGGCTGCTCCATATAGTCACTCAGGAACACAGACCAGTGTGCATCATGTCTTCCATCTTCTCACTTCCTGTTTATTTCCAGCCCTAAGAATTGCCCTCTGACTATCGTCACCTTGTCTTCCCTGAGCCTCCTCTGCTCATCCATCCATTCCCTGAGCCTCTCCTGTGCCATCTGGATGGAACAGGTCACTCCTTCAGTTTCTGCAGCAGGGGAAGACAGAATGGAGGGCCTCCACCTAGAAAAGTAGCATTTCCTTTCACATTTCATTGGCTAAAATTAATCACATGACCTGACTGCAAAGGTTGCTGGGAAGTGTAGTTTCCTATGTGTCCAGAAGGAAAGGAGAGACAGCTATTCATAACTACAAGTAATGTCTACCAGAAGGGTCCAGAATCAGGTTGCAAGATGTGGTGAGATATGGCAGGGGAACCTACAGAGATTCCTGGAGGATTCATCACAACCCCACTCTTCTTAGGGTTACAGAGAGGCCTAGGAGTGTCAACAGATATGGACAAAGTTCTTAGTAATTTTAGGGCACCTGGAAAATGTTAGCATTTGAGGCCTTCTTGTCTATTGTTTTAATATTCTAAGAGTGTCAACAGATATGGACCAAATTCTTAGCAATTTTAGGGTACCTGGAAAATGTTAGCTTTTGAGGCCTTCCTGTCTATTGTTTTAATATTCTAGGTATTCTGTAATTTTATCCTTATCTCTCACCTTCACAACCCAGTTGCCCAATAAAAAGATGTGAGCTTTAACTATGAAATCTCTCATCCTCTTCATCATTAAGAGAGTCTAAGGAATTGATTACTTGGCATTCCCACATATCCGAAATTCTTGGTAAAGCCACACTAGCCAGTGTGCATACCTTGATTCATAAACCCATGTGGGGCTGGAGGGTTAGGGATTGGAGAGGGGCAGATGACTTTGCATTACTTTAAATTAAGGTTCCAAACCATCCTATTGCCTTCTTTCTTTCAGTTGATCTTTTTGTTTTTAATTTTTTATTTTCATTTCATTTTTTGTAGAGACAGGGTCTCCCTATGTTGCCGAGACTGGTCTCAATGTCCTGGCCCGCAATCCTCCTGCCTTAGCCCTTCAAAGTGCTAGAATTACAGGCATGATCCACTTACTGTTCCCAGCCTCTTTCACCTGATCTTAACAAAAGTTTTAAGTGCACAAACCCTTCCATATCTTTTCTTATCTTCCTCCAACTCCAGAGTAAGACATAAGATAACATCATTTTGTCTAACTGCATTATTTCCAGAATCCTGTATCAGAAAGGAATTCTCCCTTTGTTTAATTGAGTTTAGTTTTGTTGTCTGTAAAACAGGAATAATAAAACCTGCTTTACAGAATTAATGAGATGGCAGAGAAAGAGGTTTTGGAGAGTGAGAGTTCAGAACTATTTAGAGTTGGATAAATTTTTTGAGGGAGGGCTGCTTTCTCTCATTATCCAAAAACTCAGAAACTAAATAGATGCAAATGCTATAGCAAGAGATACTGATATATGTAAAGCACTTGGCATTGCTCTTGTCACACAGGAGCCCTCCGTAATATCAGTATGAGTATCACTGTTGTTACTACGGTCACTGTTATTTCTACTGCTGCTTCTAATGCCATCACTTCAAACAGTACTATGATGGGTGTTTTTTTTATAGGTCTTTGTTTCACTGAACCAAATTCTGCTTACAAGCAAGTTCTTTCTCCCCAGGGATGCTTTTTATGAGAATATAAGATATATTTTAGTTTCTAGTCCTGGGACAGTACCTGGCTTCTCTTCCTCTTTTCCACAATCTTCTTTTCTCTTTTTGCAGTAGTTTCTGGGAATGACAACCACAGTAGTGGACCCAGTGCTTAGTCCTGCTTCTTTATTGACATCGAAGCTTTCACATGGTGTAGTTACTTGCATTTTCTTTTATGAATTGCAGTGCCGGTGGCAGATATCAAAGCCGTGGTGACGGGAAAGGACTGCCCTCATATGAAAGAGAAAGGTGCCCTTAAACAAAACAAGGTATGATTTCCAGATTATTGCAAATAACTCTGTTTGCCCAATGCAGTCAGCAACTGCAGCCAGCCCAGCCCTCCTTTATAGCAGTGTTTGTGTGTGTGCATGTGTTCCAACACACCTCTCTTACTCAGCTCTCCTGTTTCCTGTCCCGATTCCATTTACATCTCTTACCCTCATTCTTTCTCTTCCTGATGACTTTTCTGATGCTCACCATCTCTTCCATTCTCTCACTTCTTGTCTACTTCCAACCCTGAGAATGGCCCTTACTATTGTCACTTTGTCCTCTCTTGAGCCTCCTCTGCTCATCCATCCATTCCCTGGGCCTCTCCTCACCTCCCCCATTTATGTTTATTTCTCCCTTCTCCAACTTCCACCCCAACATCTTTCATTTTCTCCTGCTGTAATCATGCTCTTAATATCCTCCCCGGGCTCTCAGCGAAGCCTAGGACAGGCAGAGAGCAGCTGACTCAAAGCATCTTAGAAAATTTTAAAGGCCTGATACCCTTCAGCATTGTGGAAAGTAGGCTGTGAAATATCTCCAACTCAGACTGAAGGAGAAAATTTTCCCAGAGGTGTGTATTAAGCCCTGCAATACCTTTCATACTGCAATACCTTTCACCATCCCCTCCTAGTTTACCAACCATTCCATTATCATTCCATTACAGAGGGCACAGGAGGGAACATTATTTAAAAAGATAAAAGAATTTCTCTTGCCCGCTGGAGAGGCCATCAGGGAGCCAGTTCTTTGTTTATGCCTCTTAGAATCTTGTGATCTATACCATTAATGAACAAAAGTATCCAGATTATCTGGAGTACCCAGATAATCTGGTACCAAAAATGTCACATAGAGCAATAGATTGCATCTTTATTTCCAGTGTCAGTGTCTAAGAGGGACACTAAAATGATATACAATCTATTTACCAATCAGAGTTAAAATAAATAGTTTCCACTCTGTAATTTCTATTGTTATAAGACAAAGAGAATCCAGTTCTTTGCAGGATGGCCCTATCTATAGTTAAGGAAAAACAAAAGTGCTGTGAAAATACTGTTCAGGAAGGCAGAGGGCAGGGGATGCAGCTGAAGAGGCTGATTGTAAGATCTTTCCTTCTTAAGTTCTATAAGTATAACTCACCTCAACTCCATGGGAACTCCTACTTTGTTGAGCCCAGCACAGCACTGTCATGTAACGCATTTGATTGGCAAGCATACTGATGGCAGGGTATGCCCAAGAGGCCAGGATCTGTGGCCTCTCTGTTACACAGCACTGACGGGGGTTTCCGTTTCTCTCTTCTGCATGCTGTGGGGAGACAGAGATTCTATAGCTGAGCAGATTAGAGAAGCATCCTTAGCTTTAGCAGCAAATCTCCAGTTTTCATGGTTCGCCTCTTGTGGGGCAGACTTTCTTCAACACCAGCCAGGATTACCATATGCTGCCCATGTCAGGTATTCTCTCCACAATCTCGGAGAGCACTGGTTTGCTTCAGCCGAGAAGGTCCCCACGTTTACATAACACTTGGGGCTGAGCTGGAAACAGTGTGGAGAAATTGGCAATAATAGGGGTCTGGGAGTCTGCAACCCAGAGAAGACCAGGAAGGGTGTACCTGGAAAAATAGCAACCTGCCAGAGTTCAAGTGTGCTAAATAAAGACAGGGAATTATGTAAAATAGGTGTGGAGGGACCACCTGTTTCAGCCCCAACATATAAAGAGCTTGAGAGTTGTGCTCCTATCCTCACAAAAAGGAGAAGTGGGCCAGGCGCGGTGGCTTACTCCTGTAATCCCAGCACTTTGGGAGGCCGAGGTGGGCGGATCACGAGGTCAGGAGTTCGAGACCAACAGCCTGGCCAACATAGTGAAACCTCGTCTCTACTAAAAATACAAAAAAGTAGCCAGGCGTGGTGGCAGGCGCCTGTAGTCCCAGCTACTTGGGAGGCTGAGGCAGGAGAATCGCTTGAACCCGGGAGGCGGAGGTTGTGGTGAGCCGAGATCACGTCACTGCACTCTAGCCTGGGCAACAAGAGTGAAACTCCGTCTCAAAAAAAAAAAAAAAAAAGCAGCAGAACAAAGTGAAAATCAGCAAGTTTTCTTGGACCTATCCTAGAACTGAGGTTGAAGGCAAACCATCACCATGGAATGTGGAAAGTCAGATGTCCAAGAAGACATAATAATCCTTAACATGTCTGAACTTAACATGAAGATATCAAAATACATGAGTTATGAAACTGATAGAATAGAAAGGAGAAATAAACAAATTCATTACTGTTAATATATCGGAGACTTCAACATCCCTCGGTCAGTAATCAATACACCAGGCAGGCAGAAAATCAAGAATATTGATAACCTGAGCAGCACCATAAATCAGCTTGATCTAATTGATATTAATAGAATAATCCACTCAGCAATGGCAGAATACACATCCTTCACAAGCTCAAAGGAAACATTCACCAAGATAGACCACGTTTTGGATTGTAAAACATGTCTTAAAAAATTTAAAGAATAGTAGTTATACAAAGTATGTTCTCAGATCACAGTGGAATTAAACTAGAAATCAGTAGCAGAAAGACAGCTGGAAAATCCCCCAAATATTTAGAAATTTAACAACACACTTCTAAATAACCCACAGTTCCAGGAAGAATTCCCAAGAGAAATTGCACAATGTTTCAAACTAAATAAAATGAAAATCCAGCTTACCAAAATGTGTGGGATGCAGTGAAGGCAGTGCTTAGAGGGAAATTTATAGCATTGAATGACTACATTAGAAAAGAAAAAATAACTAAAATCAATAAAGCTTCCACCTTAGGACACTAAGAAAGGAGAGCAATTTAAGCCTAAAGCAAGCAGAAAAAAAAAGAAATAATAAAATTTAGAGTAGAAATCAATGAAACTGAAATCAGTAGAGAAAATCAAAACCAAAAACTGGTACTTTGAAAAGATGAATAAAATTGATAAACTTTTAGCCTGGCCAACCAAGAAAAAAATGAGAGTCACCAATATAACAGATGTGGAGATGATTTCATTTGAACATGTGAGGTAGTATATTTGGCCTTCTTGTATCAGACTCCTCTCTACTTAAAGGAGACTAAAAAAGTAAAACCGAGTAAATGATGTTTTGCAACCTTTATTTTTCACGTATTGTCAATGACACTCATAAAACATAGGATGGATGATGATGGATAGATGGATGATAGATGGACAGCTGGAGGATGATGGATGGATGGAGTACGCTACTGTAAACAGATAAGACTGCAAATAGAGGCTAGTTCCTGGGACTCACTGGCCCATATTTCTAGCTACCCTGGGCCCTTCCAGTCTGACATGAGGGATGATACTAGCAGAATTTCAAGCAGCCTGGCCCTTTAATTGGCAAATATATGGAATTTACTTGTCTTGCAATGTTAATAGCATTCATATATACCATGTCATCAAGCAAAAATATCAAAAGGCAGAAAGAAAGCCACAATTTTACCTGCTGAACCCCCCAACCCACACCCCTTTCCCTGTACTCCAGAGGTGCCCCCCTGTCTACCTCTGGGATTTCTGGGTAGGAAAGGGGGACCTGCAGCCTAAAAGGAGAATCGACCAAAATGTGTTCATAAGAGGTCTGTCAGTGCACAGTGGATGGACGATAACCAAGGCAAATTGCTGGCTCTTTGGACAGTGTTTCCCAGCTGTGGAACAGCTTTTGACATTTTGTGCCATGAGACCCATGGTTAACTTAATGACCGAGCAAGGCAAACTGAGACATTGGCATCAGTAAAGGAGATAGTTCGTTAATGGCAGAGTGTTGGTAACTGATCATCCTCTCACCCACTCAGTCTCTGCTGATGTTCCCAGCAGGGCCCTGAGAACAGAAAGAAGAAAATTGGTCCTTTCCCTTGGGGTGTCTGCTGCAGAGGCATTTGTTCATGTAGTCAGTCATCCAGTCAGCCAGCATGGGAGTGCCTGAAATAGCATAGGATGTAAATGGGGTAGCCGGGGTCCTGTCTTTCTGGAGCTTAGAGTCTACTCTGTTTAACAGAGGTCAGTGCAGCAGGCACATTTTTATGGAGACAAGAAATGCTGGGTTCTTCACACAGGGATCAGAAAATTTCTCATTGAGACTTGAAAAGAATTGCCATGAGTAGATGGAAATTCAGTTGGAAGGTTTAGATTTACAAGGATTAAGGATTCTAAATTCAAACTCTATAAAGATAAGCTGGTTTGTGGCTGTGTGCTTTAAGGTGGGCATTCTTGGTACTTGTTTGACTGGATTTGGGGCTTTTAGTTCAACAGTCAACATGAAACCACCAGAGTGAAGATTCATTGATTCAGATAGGAGTGTATTTGGTATATGAGAAGCTTCCATCTTCCTATTTGCCAGAATTAAGCATTTGTTTTTCTAGTGTGGTGCTTAAACCTGAAATAAGAAGCATATTCTACTGAAGCTGATGTCCTTGCATCAGTTTGAAAATCCTGGTCTTAGCCAGAAAGCCCTTTATTCACATTTACTTCATTCATCATCCACTCATTCATTCATTCAGCAATGTATTGAGCATCTCCTTTGTCCTAGGTGCCAGGAATCCAAAGATAAATATGACCTGGCCTCTGGTCCTAGGTGTCCAGTAGATAAGATTTATATTTAAATATGCAATTACAATTCAATATGTTTATGCCAAAAAAAATTAAACACAGAGGGAGCCTGGAAGAACTGAGAAAGGCCGATGCCGGAAATGGCATCTGATCTAGCTTTTGAAAAGGAATTGGCCAGGCAGAGAAGTGAGGAGAAGACTTTCCAAGAGGAGGAAACAGTCTGAAAAGGCACAAGGGCCTTTGCTCATGTGAACAGCATCCTCTAATTGGGAAACACTGAATTCGGAGTATAGGATGGATGGGGATGAGGAGAAGAATGTGAGTTGGAGAACTCTTGGCCAGTTACGCTGCTAAGATAGATGGGGGCTGGAGAGTTATAACTACCTGAAGAAGGTAATCTCTGTTGTGTACTACTACATGAGTGAGTGGATGACATGAATGATTGGTTTTTGCCTTCTAAAATAGAAACTCAAATTCATAGATATCTGGGCAGTAATACACTATAGCTCTGAAATCTACTGCTATTTCTGTGACCATAATTTAACACCCACACACATGCCAAGTTATATCCTGTGTCTTTTATCAAAAGGTTTTGCCCTCATGATGACCTGGATAAATAGAGAACCAGCATAGTTAAGTGAATGCTAGCAAAATGGCCAAATGTGGTGCGTTACCCTCCAACAACATAAGGATTGACAGCCAACACTGCACACTGAAAATGTGTTGCATAGAACTCTACTCTTGTCATCAGTCAGTTCCTCATTTGACCCATGGAAGATGGCAGTCCCCAAACCCAGGAACCATTTTCCTGAGCATCCGCTGACACAGTGTGCCTTGTCATCTGTCCCAGGGCCAGAGTGTTGAGTACAAAGGTCAGGGGCCTCAGGGCATGGAAGGATGTTCGGTTTCCTCTGCCTCCACTTTCCCTAGAACTCAGGCTTCCTCCACATGACAAGGTGGCAAGCAGGCATCAGTGCAGCAGAGAATGGAGAGAAGCTGCTTCTAGATGTAATTTTTCACTGCATTAAAACCAGAGGAATAAAAGAGCTTCAGTCATGAGCAACAAAGCCCCTGAGCATTCAATGTCTAAGTGAGTGTTGTGGTGTGTGGAGGCAAGTAGGCCCTGAGGGGGACACAGATCAGTGACAGTCTACTCCTTCACCACCTGGCACCTTCTCCCTCATGGACGGTGTGGACAGGTGGCAGCTTCTGGAGTGTTAGCCTGAGAGGTGCCATTGCTCCCAGCTCTGCAGCCTCCCTGCTCCAAGTGCTGAAGAGCTGACCTTCACCAATGACTCAACAACAGCAAGCCAGAGACATCAATAAAACCCATTATAAGCGATAGCACCCTTTAACACAGACATGCAGCTCAGAGAATTAATTCCTCCCACCCCCTCCCAGGCAGCTTTGGTGAAATTAAAGTGGGAATTGACATTCTCACGAATTTCCCATTTCTTGCCTGTGTTTATCAGGAATCTAGGTCATGACAGTTCCGATCATTCACGTCGTGAGTGGTATATGTCATAGAAGGGCAAAGCCCAAAGTTCGCATCCTTTTCCTTCCTTCTCCATCCCCCTGCAGAAGAGAAAGTATCACAGCAGTAACCACGCTGACACTCCGGTCTCGAGTGACTTCAGCATCCTGTCGGGAGCACATCTGGGCTGTGGTGCTGTTCACACCGGCTCTTGTCAGCCAGGGGTGATCGGCCACGTGATCTCCCTGAGCAGTCAGGCACTTATCACCCAGGGTCAGCCCAAAGGGGCCTGGATGAACTTTACCTTTTCCTGTTTACCTCTGAGGGCCCCCTGTAGTATCCTGAATGGTTGTTCAGAAGCAAAGTTCACTCCCTCCTTTTTCTCCAATCTCTCAAGTATGAGTCAGAGAGTTTGCCTAATAAATAACTCCAAGATTAGTGAAGAAATTGTCATTTTAATGAACATGCCAAATCTGAGAACAATTTTTATGAATTTTTGAAATTATAGCATAGCATTTTGTTGAAAAAACAGTTGTAAGAAGAGATAATGACCTATGACCTGTCACCTTACCATAATTATTTTCATTTCCCATATTTCTTTCCAGTCTCTGTCCATAAGTAGGAATTATTCATAATTGTGATCAGTGTGTACACGGTGTTCATGTCTCATGCTTTTCTCCACTTAACTTTGGCTCCCCATAATTATCTTACTGAATGATTGGCCAAACATATTTCCCTTGGTGGCTAATTTATGATATCTTTATTACCCAAAAGAGGGAGAGGTTAGTTTCTCATAATGTTCTTTCAGATAATAATATTTGGCTTTTGCTTTCTTTTGAATTTTTCTTTTGAAATTATCTCAGGCATAGCATCTCTGGTTCTTGATATGATTTTCATACTGATTTTTTTTTAAAGGATGATATGAATTTATAGTACTAATAGTAAGTCTGTGACTCTTTTAATTTATAAATTAAAAGTCCCAAGAGAGATGGTTATGGAAACAGATGCTGTACTTAATGGCAAATTGTTTTTGTTTGCTTGTTTCAGCAAACTTCCTTTTTACATTATTGTCTTTACTGGGTAGGCCTGAGTCAGGGCCTAAAGAAGAAGAATAGAAAATGAGGAGAGCATTTTTGCAGAATAGCTCCCATTCCACGACTCAGCATTCTTTCCTTCCCTTGTTTCTATTTCTGTCAAGGTGAGGAGACCTTTTGAATGTGAGATGCTGGTAGGTCTATCCTCAGAACAAGTCCTGCCACCTCTCATTGAGGGACAGCTGGAGGTGAACCAGACACTGAGAACTCCACGAGAGCCAGAAATAGTTAGATGATGGACTGGGCCGGGAGAGGGATGCAGCCACTTTGGAATAATTCTTTAATCCGTCTGAAATTCTGAAATCTGTAGGCACTGACCTCATCTTTTTGCCTTTTATCTTTCTGGAGCATTTTTGCTGTGAGTCAGAGGTGAAAGACAAACTCTCTAACAGATATCAAGGTAGAGAATGATGTGAAGAGATCTGGCTCCCTAAGAAAGAATGCTTTGTGGGCAATTACTGAGCAATATGGCTCGCAGATCACAGGAGGGGAGAGGGATGGTCATCCCTGGTGCCTAATAGAAGCACAGAGAAGGAAGGCATACTAGAACCTCCATGCTGGAACAGTGTAGAGCATTGGTTTGGATACACTTGGCCCTTCCCCTCCAGACTAGGAGTCCTCAGGATGCTGAGATGAGCTGATGATTCTCATCTTCTGCTGACCACTCAGACCACTAGAATGATTGTCGTACCCAGTATTGGTACAGCATGTACAGTCTGAGAAGTGTGGTTTAATGTACATATTAGACATGACACTGAGTGCTTTGGCCATTGGTCATTCATCTGCAATGAAATGAAAATGTCACTTGGTCCCTGGACCTTTGGGGCCTGGCTAATTGTGTGTACTCCGTAAGTGATCACCAATGAGTGAGACCATGCTTCTCGATCATACCTTGGAGTCTCTGCTGGGTAAAACCTAAGCTTTGTGTAGCCTTTACTGTACGGTAGCTCAGAGGTCAAAGGACAGATGTAAAGATAATGGGTTCACCTAGAAGCCTCCTTACAGCTGGCCTAGCGTCCACATTTTAGTGAATTCATACCTCGGTGGGCCTGTCTGTCTTAGGATGATAGAAGGAAGGACAGTCCTTAATGCTGTTGATTGGGAGTTTACTGTTTTTTTGTGGCCTCTCTGGAAGGGAGATGCGAAGAAAGGAGAATAACACGGTTTTGGTGGCGGAGGCGGGGGCTGTCACCTTGGACACTCATTGAACCTCTTTAAGCCCCGCCTCATAAAGGGGATGAAAACACTTGCTACATGGGCTGCATGTGAATTAAATGAGATGGTACACAGACTGCCCTGAATGGAGAGAAGGAATCATGCCGTGAACCTTGAAGAACATGGTTCCTCCTTCCATCAGCCTCATTGCAGCTCTGCTTGTCTAGACAAGCTGGCCCTATTCCATGGTCAATGTGCAGCCATTTGCAACAGCAAAATGAAATGTGCCGATTTTCCTTAAGGTGCTGTTTTCTCTCATCTCTTGTAGGAGGTGCTTGAACTCGCTTTCTCCATCTTGTATGACTCAAACTGCCAACTGAACTTCATCGCTCCTGACAAGCATGAGGTAAGGGTCTCACGGGGGATAATTTATGACAGAATGTAATCTTTTCTCAAGAAAAATATTAGAAAGAAAGAAATTTCGCTTAAGAAAAATAGACCTGCCTAAAAAAATGACGCACCAAGGGGCATCTTGCTGACTTGGAGTAGAATAGAAACCTCTTGATAAACTGCCCCTTGCAACAGATTCAACTTCTTAGTAGCCTGGTAAAGAAAAAGGATGTAAAAGGCCTCAAATGCAGCAAAGGCATAGTTGTTAATCCAGAGAAAGAAGCGGCCCTGGTTACAGCTTTGGTTTTCATTGAATTTTTCGTTTTTGGTCTGGATTTTCCCAAGATAAACTGGTCTCTCTTCTTTAAAACATCTGAGGAAGTAGGTTTTCTACCAAATTTCTTTAAGCTATTTTAAGAGGTTTAGGGCTGTCTCTGCTGTTGGGATTTTATTTTCGAGATGCTTTTATTCCTTTCTGACATCTTGTTATATGTATAATTTGTTTCTCTTCTTGCAGCACGCTGTCAGCTATATTTAAAATATTTAGCATAAATCTAGGAAAATGCATTTGTAAGATAAAGTGGCAGTTATGGCTGATTTAACTTTCTTTTATAAACTGGAACCCAACATCATGCTTGAAACTTTTATTTTTAGATGATACCATTCAAATTTTTGTTTTGCATGTGGTTGCATAAACAGCTTTTAGAAAGGAAGAGAACATTTTAATAGAATCTGATTTTTGTTCCCCATTTCCCCTAGGACATTTAGCTCATTTAGAAGTTATTCAGTATCTGGTTTTCACTGGTTTGAAGCTTTTGAATAAAATTGTATATCCCAAAGAGAGAGGAAAGATTAGACACAAATCCTGCATTTAGAAGGGTGCTTAAATATAATTCTGTGTCACTTGACATTTAGTTTGCTGAAGGGTAAGACTTTGTCTTCATCTTTCTGAAAATAGATACTGTGTCCTACTGTTTCTGTTTTTAAATAAAATTGTGGTTCTACACAGGCCACCATATTCAAGATGTATAGAGCTGTATACAAAACTACTTAAAATAGTAGAACTTTGGATGTTATTTAAATCTATGCAAGGCTGTTTTCCCCAGTGTACATTAATTCCAGATCAAGATAAATGCTCTGGGACTGCCAGATCTTTATTCATATCTGCCACTTCTTATAGATACAATGAAGAGAAAAATGCCATATGCTTGTGAACACTTTTAATTACTTCAGACCACTTTCCTCTCTATTACCTCATTTTATTTCCATAATTACAACATACAATAGAAAGTTCTATTACAGACATTCTCATTTATCAAATGAGCAGGGAGAGACCTCCCAGAACTGAATACCTCAACAATAGAAAGGTTAATACAGTTGCCCTTGAACAGTATGGGGGTTATGGGCACCGACCCCCCCACACAGTTGAAAATCTGCCCATAACTTTTGACTCCCCAAAAACTTAACTGTTGATAGCCTACTGTTGACCAGAAAGAAGACTTCCCCATAGCATAAGCAGTTGATTCACACACATTTTGTATGTTATGTGTATTATATACTGTATTCTTACCATAAGGTAAGCTAGGGAAAAGAAAATGTTAAGAAAATCATAAGGAAGAGAAAATATGTTTACTATTCATTAAGTGGAAGAGAATCATCATAAAGGTCTTCATCCTTATTGTCTTCACATTGAGTAGGATGAGGAGAAGGAAGAGGACAGGTTGGTCTTGAGGTCTCAGGGGTGGCAGAGGCTAGAGAGGTGGAAGAGGTGGAAGGGGAAGCAGGAGGGACAGGCACACTTGGTGTAAGTTTTATTGAAAAAAAAAAAAATCCATGTATAAGTGACCCACACAGTTAAAACCCATGTTGTTCAAGGGTCAACTGTAAGTATAACGACCCTGGCTTACTCTCTGCCAGGCACCATTAATGCTTTATATGTATATTTCACCTCAGTTAACCCTCATATAACTCTGAAAGAATCCTCATTTACTAAAAGAGGGAAATGAAGCAAGAGAGCTTCAGAAACATGTTCAGGGTCACACAAGTAGTAAGAGACGGAGCTGGGATTTAAACACCGGCAGCCTTGCTCCAGAAGCCCCTCACTTAACCCCTACACTGTGGAGCTAGGAAGAGAAGGAGCAGGCACTGAGCTCGCACATTCCTGGCAGGCCCATCACTCAGCTTCTGCAGTCACCAACTCATGGCCAATCTGGTTCATCTGTGCTCCCATCTACTCTTCCACCATGATTATTTTGAAGCAAATCTGGATATCACTTTATGTATAAATATTCCTGTATGCGTCTCCCAATAATAAAGACTCAATTTAAAATCTGTAACTGCAATACCCTGATCACAAATAAATTAATAATGTGGTATTTATTTATTAAACCATGTGCCGTCAATTTTCAGATTTCTCTAATGGTCTCATTTGTGTGTTTTTTTCTTTCATACTTTGTTCAAGTCAGAATGCAAATAAGATCCATGCGTAGCAGTTGGTTGACATGTTTCTTAGGTTTCTCTGAATCTACAGATTTCTCTTTCTCTGTCTCTCACAATCATGAGCATGTGCCTTTTTTCCTTGAAATTTATTTATTGGGAAAAACAGGTCATTAAACCTGTAATGTTAATAGTCTAGACTGTGCTGATTGTAAGTTTATGTATTAGCTTACTGTTGCTGTTGTAACAAACTGCCACAAATTTAGTGTTAAAGAACACAAATTTATTATCTTCCAATTCTGGACTTCAAAAGTCAAATGTGAGTATCCTGGGCTAAAATCAAGGTGTCAGCAGGGCTGTGTTCCTTTCTGGAGGCTCTAGGGAAGAATTTTCCCTTGTCTTTTTCACTCAAGAGTCCACCTGCACTCTTTGGCCTCCATCCATTGCAATGGCCGTTTGAACCTTTTCATCACATCACTTCAGCCTCCTCTTCCATAGTCAGATCTCCCTCTACCTCTCACTTCTCTGACTCTGACTCTTCTTCTGTTTCCTTCTCTCACTTTTAAGGACCTCTGGGATTACATTGGGCCTGCTTGGATAATCCAAGATCATCTCTCTATTTTAAGGTCAGCGGATAGCAACCTTAAGTCCCTTTTCCACAGAACCTGACATATTCTCAGGATCCAGGGAGTAGAATGTGGGTATCTTTGGAAGGCGGGTATTATTGTTCTCACCACAACCTACAGTATAATTCATATATTCATCTGTCCCCTGTATGTCCTATGAATTGTAGTTAAAGGATTAATCAAATTCAGGCTCCCTTTCTAAGCAGTAGCAGTGGTGTTTGTACTTTCATGGTGATTTCTTGCTCCCCTTTCTTGGATGTTAGCAGGCACTGATGATTGTTGTCTGGATCCTTGGAACCATTAGAGGTTGCAAAAGGTTGATATCCTAATTTTATAATTCCTTCTTTATTTATTAAAGGGATAGAGAGAAACTGGCCTCATCAACTATTTGGTTATCCTAAAGTTATACAATTTACATATGGTAGGCAGGATAAATACTTGATTCTCTTTACCAGTTTTCAAAATAGTGTCTTTCAAAGAAGAACAATGAGGCATTTGGGGGCAGGAGTTGAGTAGGAAATCATGCATTTAAACAGAATTATGTCTCAATATGTTGCAGTTACTGTCATTATTAGTTTCTAAGTTATCTGGTCTGGAATAAATAGGAACACCATTGGGTTGGCATCTGAGTCCTGTTGGGAGGACCCCTTATGTCTTTGACAACTTTCTGGCATTCTGGTATGATGGGGTGCTCCAGGTTTATCTTTGTTTCCTGCCTTTTCTCTGTGGAGCCTTTATTACTTGTAGTGGGAAATGGTATTTAGTGACCAGAATCTAAGCATGAGGTATGTTTATGGTCATTGCACACCATGGTGCAATGGTTCTTGGTTGGATATTATTTTATTTTTTAGCCCTTTTTGGGGACAGAGCTAGGAGGGTTTTTTTTGTTTGTTTGTTTTTTTAAGATAAACTACATAATGAATTGATACTGATAGTTCCAACTCAAATTCAGTATCAATACTACAGGGTTTTTATTTATTGGTCGATGTACTTTCAAATAAAATTTTCTGTGCCTGTTGTTTCTAAAAAGAAACGCACTGCAGAAATGGATGGTTAGACATGTTCAGAATCAGATCATGAGGACACTAATTCTTCCAGAAATCCCTTAACACGAAATTGATGTTTCGATGGGTTAAATGCTTTGGCTGAGATCACCTAACCACGGTAGAACGAAAGCCCTCCAAATCAACGCTGCCCTCCTCAAACACGGATCTCAGAATACACCCATTGTGCACCTCCTCAGCCTAAAAAGTAGGACCACCGATGTGCATCATGGAAGATTTCTATCACATCATGGTGACTGGAGATTTATATAGTGTTTTTCTGTATACTTTGGGTACTTTTATGTTGAGATCTGCTACCATGGAATACAGTCCAGATAACCACAGTGCCAAAGTAGGTTAAGAATAGGTCTGGAATTGCCACTTGACCTAGTGAGGCAGAAAAGTTGGGAATCTGAAGTGCATGGTAGAAGGAAGATCACTTGAACAAAATAGGAGAACAATTGCTGTTATAGAATCCTATACAGGACTGTTAGAAACCTAACTCCAGTGTGTGAGTGGAGCCCAGCATCCAGAACGCCAAGCAGCTTTCTGTGATGCAGCAGGGGTGCCTCTTTCACCAGGTGTCATGGTTCTCTGTCCAGGTCAGTACAGAACTCCAGCCTCTGGGAGGGAAGCTAACAAGAGAAAAGCAGGTCCTCAGACAAAGCACAGTTCCTCCTTCTCCCTCAGAGAGATCATAGTCTCCTGGAGAGACAAAAGGCTATGACAGGAGAAGAATCAGACTCTTAGCTGGGGACTCTGAAGGTCTTTCCAAAACAGATAATGTCCCCAGGGATCAGGCCCCAGAGACCTGGTGAAAAGAAACCTTAGGAACTAGAGACAAAGGCTAAAGAGATCCCCAGACAGGCAGCCAACCCTCCTCCCATTAAGATTGCCCAATAATTTTAACC